TTACACAGCATACACACACCACATATATATATATATATATATATATATATAAATATAATATCTACAAACATACATACATACATACATACGTACGTAGATACATACATATATACATACATAGATACATAAATCATACATTATATATAAGCATACAATATATATATATATATATCCCTATGTCTACTTCTAGAACAGATAACATGATCATGATACATACATTATATATATATATATAACTATATCTACTTCTAGAGTATACAGCATGATATTAACGAGTTTACACTTACCCCCAACCATACACAGACATCGCACTGTAGGTCTTGATGATGAGTTTTATACTTTGCTGGATATCTGATACGTATATGTTATAATCTGAAATATCGGCTCTAGGCCCTCCACTCCTGCCGTGACCTTTCATTCAAGAAAAATAAACAACCACAAAAAGGGGTGGAAGAGCAAGGAAAGGAGTGAGATACATCGAATTTAGATATGGGGAACCTTTCAAACCTAGTATACATATGCTTGTTCTATCATATGATATGATATACATTGTATATGCTATGTACAATGTGTGCGATGAGAGCCTCGCAATCCGCTGGTGTCCAATCAGATCATATCATTGTATCTGAAACAGGTAGCGATGAAAAGATTAGGTACACCATGCTAGAAAGCAACGATTTTCACCGGTCTTTTTGTTAGATGAACAGAAACCACGCGCACAACGCGAAATGGCTGACGATCACACAAAAAACAAACACAAACACAAACACACACACACACGCGCGCGCGCGCACACACACACACACATACAAACACACACACACACACGCGCGCGCGCGCACACACTCATATACAAACACACACACACACACACACACGCACACACACACGCACACACACCTTGATGATCGTGAGCTACTACCAAGAAGCCCCTCTTATTAAATTCTGCTGCTTGGGCATCGTATCTGCCGCAGTGTTCGCCGAAGCCGTGCGATATGAACAGTATACACCGAGCACGGCCTTCAGGGAGCCATATTCTCTGATACACTTTGGCACTGCAAGTGGTAAGATGGCAAGAACACACGTGTGTTTGTGTTTATGAAGGGGAGCAATATTCTCTGGTACACTTTGGCTCTGCAAACAGCAAGATGGCAAGCACACACGTGTGTTTGTGTTTGTGAAGGCGAGCCATATTCTCTGGTACACTTTGGCACTGCAAACAGCAAGATGGCAAGCACACACGTGTGTTTGCAAAGTGATGTGAGTCTTCGTTCCCTGATAGTAGGCCCTACAACAATGGGGTAAATCCGTACACACATCCCTAAAAATAGCATTCGTATTAACATCGAAAAGACATCACAGACAGAGCATGCTTCGAGACTCTTACCCATTGCGTTTACTTAAGAATAGGCCCTCCCTGCAATTGGTAGGTACTTACCCATTGCGTTGACTTAATTATAGGCCCTCCATGCAATTGATATGCACTTACCCATTGCGTTTACTTATGAATCGACCCTCCATGCAATTGGTAGGTACTTACCCATTGCGTTTACTTAAGAATAGGCCCTCCATGCAATTGGTAGGTACGTGGTAGTCGTGCGCGTGTCGCTTTGCCACCAGGGTCAGGTCACTGGCTGACTGCGACCGCTGAAGCTGTGATGTGCGGGGGCAGCAGTAAGACGTGTTGTGTGAATACGACACGTAGCTTGCTAATTAACTGTACAAGAATATACTACGAACACTGGTGTGAATTGGAAACCTAGTTAAATATCCGTTAAATGTCCGTTCAACGCCATGCTTGCCCTTAGATAGACAGGGACACATAAGATCTCAGTACTATAGGGGTCGCCATAGATAAATCAGCAACGGGAAATGCAGGTCCAACTAATTTTAGTCAAATTTTAGTCATAATAAACTTTTTAATGTTAATTCCATCCCTTCGAAAAAAGTTACACCAAGGCTACAAATAAACAAGCCCCAGATAATAGCACGTGGGAACATCAGCACAAATACCGATAATAGTACAGACACAC